TGGCACAACACTCACCTAAAATGGCTAATGTGGGAGAGAGGGGTCAACTGTGCTGATGAAAAACACATTTATTGGGGAAAAGCACCTTTATTTGGCACTTGCCTTCCTACACCCCCAAACCCAGCACCCAGAAGCCCCCAGGTCGAGCATCTTGAAGCCAGAAAACATTACAAACGCCAGACAATCTCAGTTTTTCTGCTCTGAGCTTAAAACGAAACAAATTATTTTGGGTGCCTGAAACCAGTGCCTGCTTGGAAGATGCCACTGGCAGCTCCACTTTCCCCTTCACCCCCAGGAACCAGTTTGGGGCTGTGGCAAAGCCAGATCTGCCCACTGCTCCTCCAGGTAAAGCCTTCAAATAACCCTAACCCTCCATTTTTTATCAAATAAAAGAAGCACAAGGTTGATGACAAAAGCTACAAAGAGAAAGCAGCTCCACCCCACCTTATAGGCTTATTCTGTGCTAAGAGGAGATGAGAGCTACAGCTGAAATCAGCCTTCCCACCCTCACCTAAGCCTGGTTTTTGTTTTTTCCAAGCAAGGCTTCACCTACTGCAGTTGAGTCCCAGCCCCTGTAACTAGCTTAATTTTCAAGGAAGGTCCCCAAAAACCGCATGGGATGTGTAAGCAGGGCAGCAGGTACCATAAGGACTTGAGCATCAGCACAAAGAGCTCCTGCCCCATCTAACCCAGGAGGGCTCAGCCTCAGCATAAGGTAAAATCCCCATATGTACCAATCTCAGCCCATATGGTACACCCCTGCCTTGCTTTTGCAGTGATGGGGTTAAGAGGAGATACAAGGAGGTCTGACCAGGGAGATGGTGGTGGTGACCAGCAGGTGAGGGAGCTTTTGGAAAAGATGTTTCCACTTCATTTACCTCTTCCAAGCTTCCCAAGCAGATTTGCAAGCCTACATGCTCGCCAAATTAAATCACCATCCTGGGGATGCCGTTTGGATGATAAGACCAAAACTCTTCCACTTCTCTCAGTGGATCTGAGCCATCACACCCCAGATGTTGGTCTGGAAGGACTGATGGTCCCCAGGTGCAGGATAACTCTCTGGACACCTGCATGGCCTCAGAGCAACATTTTCCAACACCTCACAGCAACATTTGCCTGGAGGATCAGTACAGGATAGCCTGGCTCCATCAATCTCTTTTTCTTGTGCAGGTTATTAAGCAGCTCTGAAGCCTGGCCCTCCATGAGGGTGAGTTTCTTATTTTTTGGAGATTTCCAAGGCAAACCAAACCCCACTCCCAGCTTCCACTCCAAAAATCCCCTTAGAGTTATTTTAATGGCATTGCCCTTCTCAGCAAGAAGGAGTCCTGTGTTCAGTTCTGGGCCCCTCACTAGAAGAAGGATGTTGAGATTCTGGAGCGTGTTCAGAGAAGAGCCACAAGGATGGGGAGGGCTCTGGAGAACAAGCCTGATGAGGAGCGGCTGAGGGAACTGGGCTTGTTTAGCCTGGAGAAGAGAAGGCTGAGGGGAGACCTCATCACCACCTCCAACTGCCTCAAGGGAGGTTGTGGAGAGGTGGGTGCTGGTCTCTTCTCCCAGGTGATGGGGGTCAGAACAAGGGGAAACGGCACCAAGCTGTGCCAAGGGAGGTTCAGGTCAGAGATAAGGAGGAAGTTCTTTACTGAGAGGGTCGTCAGAAGCTGGAACAGGCTGCCCAGGGAGGTGGTGGAGTCCCCATCCCTGGATGTGTTTAAGGAGCGGGTAGATGAGGTACTTAAGGGTATGGCTTAGGGGGTAGACAGGAATGGTTGGACGTGATGATCTCAGAGGGCTTTTCCAACCGAGCGATTCTGTGATTCTGTGAGGCAGCAGGTCGTGCATCCCCACAGAATCCAGCTCCTCCAGGGGGCTGCAACACAGAGGTCTGGGCATCTCCTCAAGTTCAACTCACCTTCCTCAGCCTCTGAAGCTGCAGGTTCTGCTCCAAGAAAGGCAAAGACCTTCCTCTTCTTCCTTCTTCTCCTCTTTCTCTCTAGCCTAAGCCCTGCAGCACCCCCACCCACAGGGATTTAGGATTTATGGGATTGCCCCAGTGCATCACCCCCAAGCACAACTTGAATCCCTGGGTGCCCACCAAGGGGCCACCCAAAGAGGAACCTTCCCCACCAAACCTCTCCCCACCCACGATGGATGCAGCACCTTCAACTTTGTACCCAGGAGAGGGAGCTCCCCCAGCAGAGCCATTAAAGGCTCTCAGTAATGAGCAATTAGTAGCCCTGATGAGCTCCCCCTGGCCTCTCTGAAAGCAACTGAGCCTGACACTGATGAGGTTTCTCGCTAATTACAGCCGAGGAGCGAGGCCAAGCTGCCTCCCAGCCTCAGTGTGGGGTGGGGCTGTGGGCTGAGACAGAGGCAGGGACCACACCGAGCTCTGGGCTGGGAACTGTCCTGAATTCTCTGTGCTATAAAAAAACGTTGTTCCTGGGTTTTTTCCTTTTTTTCCCCTTTTTTTCCCTTTCCCCCCATTTTTTTTTCCTTTTTTCCTCTTTTTTCTTCTGCTTTTCCCCCCTTTTTTCGTCTTCTTCCTCTTTTCCTCCTTTTTCCCTTATTTTCCTTATTTTTTTTTTCCTTTTTTTTTCTTTTTCCCTGGAAGGATGATGTTCCTGTGACCAGCTGTGCTTTCTGCTTGCGAGCTGATCCTCTCTCATTCATTATTTGGAATAATTCATGCCAAATAATGTGGGGTTGTGCTGTGCCTGGCACTGCACTGACCTGCAGCCCAAACCAGCAAGGAAATACGGTGCCTTTGCCAAGCCTTGGGGGCATCAGGGACTGCAGCGACGTGCTCAAGGACACCCAAAACCTCTGTGGCATGGTGAAAGGCTCAAGCAGACATCCAGCATCCCAAGGTGTTTCTTTTTATCATCCCTTTTGAGCTGAACCCTGATCTGCTGGGTTTGGGGTTGGCGAGCGAGGCTGAAGGCTGTGTCTTTGTAGCTACTGGGCTCTTCTGTTCCCATCCCGGTGGCTTCGTGGTTGGGCTGGCTCTTGGCTGACCCGGGCCCCTGGCACAGCAGCCGGCTCAGCACCTCCCAAAAACGGCTCCGCTCCAGCTGCCAGACCACAAAACCCCAAGCCCAGCTCACATCATTCAGGAGCGCTATAAAAAAACCCTAAAATAATAATAAATAAAACAAACTAAAAAACACCCCACCCCAGCCCTCACTTCCCCTTGGGCAGCTCCCCCAGCCTTTAAACCCCCCAGTTTTGCTCTTGGTGTATGCAATGCTTGGAGCGAACCAGCAGCCCCCAGTGGAACTGCCCACTGCTGGCATTCAGGATTTTAAGATGTTGGAAAGGAGCAGCTCCAAATTGCTCTCTTAGCCTAGTCCCTCGACAGGGTTTGTTTTCACCCCATGGGAGGATGTGGGTATATGAATGAAGGATGTGGGTACACAAATGAAGGTGGGATTTAATGACACCTTTGGGGAGAAAGCCCCTGGCTGGAGGCACAGGAAACATCTTTGGGGGCTGTAAGAGGGGAAGGAGGGTGCGTGCAGGTTTCGTGGTGGGGAAGGGTGGTGGTAAAAGTGCTTTCCCCAGTCTGTGATCACTCCCTGGGCATGCATCTCTGCCTGCGCTTTTCTCATTGCTGGGACATAAAGGGAGCAGGCAGACACGAGGGGCTGGGGCAGAAGGTAAGGGTGATGTCTGACCCAAATTTGAAGGCTGCGTTCCCCACCCCGCACCCCTTTGCTGCAGCCCCCCTGGAAGGGAAACAGAATGGCAGAACAACCCCGTCCCCATGCCCGCAGGCATGAGAGCATCACACATATTTGCTAACTTGGCTTTTATTGTCACAGGACGCAGTGGCAGACAATGCAACAGGGCGCTACAAGCGGGGACATGGGCGTCTGACACCGCAGGGCTTCCAGCACCTTCACCTCCAATGTCAGGTGGGAGAGGAACGATGCCACAGGGAGCAGATGTCTGCAGCTGCAAACCCTGCTCCTTTCCCTGCCTTTGCTGCCCCGGTGCTGTGCAAAGAGACAAATTCTCAAGCCACCGTGATTGTCCCTTTGGGGCAATGCAAGAAGCAACATTCGCATCTCCTGGTATTGGCTTCATTGCATCCACGCTGTAAGTTTCCAGCCAACGTTTTTGCTTGCGCTGCACTCAGCTGAGTCACAGGGCAAAGGCGTTATCAGGAGAAGCTGCCCCAGGAATTCCCTTCCTCTGGGATGGAGAAGCATGGGCTTAGCCTAAGGGTTCAGCGTACAGCAGAAATGCAGCCTGTTTGCTTTGCCCCGCCTTGGAGATAGGCTGCCCCCAGTGAGATGGAGACATAAAACAAAGGGCAGACTCAGCATTAAAAAAAACAAAGATTTTTTTTGAAAAGCCAAGGATTAACAGGCTTTCCCCCCCCCACTCTGTAAGCAGATCTCGGTTTCGCTTTTAAACATGCCCTTGGTGCCAGCCCGTGAGCAGCCAGAGAGGGAGCAGGGCTCCAGCAGAGATGTGGGGGGGACACAGGGGTCTGCCATTTTCCTCAGGACAGGGATGGCTGGTAACAGCTCGACACTCAGGGTCACCCTGCCTTGTGGGTGCACGCTTTGGGGCACAAACAGACCCAGCAAGCTTTCTTAGGGGAGGAGGAAAACCCGTACAGACATGTCCGTGCTGGGTCTGATTGCCACCAAAACACTTCTGAGCCTGCATGGGTTGACCCACCACCACTGAAGTCACCACGAACCACCTTCGCAACTGACTTCAGCCATGCTGGAGGAGGAAGAGGGAGCAAAAAGGTAAGATGGAGGAAGAACATCTTCCTAGCCCACACGAAGCCCATTTGTAAAAACCTACAGGCTTCAAAAGGCTGTTGGACCCCAATCCCACCCCTGCCCACTTCTTCACCTTCCCATCCTGGGAGCCAGCACAGCCCCAGGAGCTGCCCCTCAACCCTGGGGCTGAAGCAGCAGCAGGATAACCCATCCCTCTCGGTCCCTGCTTGGCTGTCGCTCTCGCTTCCACCCTGGGGACGCTCACTCAGGGATGTAGTCCCTGAAGGAGTTAAAGCTGAGGCTCCGTCCTGCTGAGTTCAGGGTGGAGCTGGCTTGCATCTTGGGGATCTTCTCCATCAGCTTTGACACTGTCCTCCTCTTGAAGGAGCCTGGGGAGAAATGCCCCTGTCTCATCAGCTCCTGGTAGAGGGTGTTGAACACCACCACGGTCTCTTCATAGCTGTCCCGGGTGGAGATCTCATAGAAAGGAAGCTTCAAGGCTTTGGAAAGGTTTTCACCGTCCTCTGTGGACACCATCCTGTCGAACTGCAAGTCCTTCTTGTTGCCCACGATGACCACAGGTGGCTGCTCGCTCACGCTGCTCCGTTTGGGGCTCGAGTGGATGTGGTTGATGAGGAAACACAGCCGCATCACCTCGTCGAAGCTGCACCGGTCTGTCACCGAGTAGACCACGGCAAAGCCATCGCCCCATTTGATCTTCTCCTCTATCTGCAGGGAATCCTCCTCCTGCCAGGGCAGACAAGCTCTTACTAACACCAGAAGCCCCAACATCTCCTAAATACCACCACCACTGGTTGCAACCTAGAAAACCTCCCACGAGGGCCTGTCATCATTGCCATGAAGCTTTTTTGGCTTGCCCACAGCAGTGACATGCAAAGCCACAGAGGCAGCCCAGGGCAGGGATTTGACGGATTGGGCAAAATGACAGAGACAGCCATCAGCTCCATCCTGATGTGGACAAGTGTCACCAAAGCAGGAAGGCAGAGGTAGGGCTGTTGGTAGATGGGAAGCCAGTACAGGGCTTTCCATTGCCCGCAATCCCGGTGCTTGGTGGCCTCTTCAACCCAGCACCCTCCTGCTCCTTGAGCCATCTCTCTGCCATAAGGATGCTCCACTGACACAGAGAGCAGAGCTGCGCCGCACACTGGTAAGGGGAATGGGGGAATATTTAGCTGAAGTCACACTGTAATTGATGTTAGAGAGACACAAATTCTCCAAAACATCCTTTTTCCCAGATAAGCACGTCTTGATCGGCATTTTGGATACAGCAGATTAAAGCTGGTGGAAGAGCAGGGATTGCCATCACCAGGAAGTGGCGCCTGCCTGATGGGGTTCTCCAGGGTCTGCCAGCTCTGAGACAGCGCAAACTCACCTGTCCAGCCGTATCGAGGATCTCGAAGTGCACCATTTCCCCGTCGATGACAGCCATGTGTCTGTAAATCATTTCTGGAGGGGGACAGACAGAAAAGCACGTGTGAGAAAAGCCCTTCCAGTAGCAAATGACAATCCCCAGTGGCCTCGATGCAAAGCCGTGCTGGAGAAGTTGATTTTCACCTGCTGCAACCTACAGCCCATGTGGTCTCCATTTCAAGTCCACATCTTCAAGTGGTCCTCAGACCATCTCCCCACGCCTGGGAAGGGCAACCCTACCCCCACAGCATCAAGCCCAGCATCTTTGAGGGGCAGCGGAGACCCCCAGCCAACACCTCGCCTTGCTGGAAATAAAAGGGCTACAGTGACCGAAGCATTGGAGCAATAAGGGGTCACGGGCTCAGCAGGAGGGTATGGAAAGGTGGGTTGGGTTTTAAGACCTCACTGATGCTCATAACCCAGCCAGCATTGAACCCCGGCTCTGAAGCAGCGGGGTAGCAGCTCCTTTCTGACCAAGTAATAAAAGTGGCAGCAAGGCATGCGCAAAAACTGCTTCCAGCTTCACTCACCTCGTCAGGCAATAAAATCAGCTGGACTCTGCTTAGCAGCTGCCCTGGGCACAGTGTGCTTCAACTATGGGTAAACCCGGCACCTTCCCCCTCCTGCGACATGGGGCAGCACCAGGGACACTCGTGGCATAGTCTCTATTTTATCACATTATACAGAGCGAGCCCACTAGGAGGAAGTAGCAGCAGGCAGAGAGGAAAACCAAATTGCACTCAGGGGTAAAAAAGCACTGCTCGTCATAACAAGCGAGGAGTGGGGTTGTAAAGGACAGACAGGGTAACAGTGGGGTTGTTTTGCAAACCAAGCCTTTCCCTTGGGTCCCCTGGCAGCGGGCTGGGTTAGAGAAACACAGACTTCCCAAATTTCCCAGCCCAGGAGTTAGGCAGAAGGATGCACGGTCAGCAACCGGTCATTTCTGGGATACTACATGACTTCAGTGCCCAAAAAACTGCAAACCCAAATGCAAAAAAACCCCATAACCACAGAAGACAGGAAAGCACTAACCATTGCTCTGGTGCCTTAGATCACAGAATCCCAGAATCCCAGACCGTTAGGGATTGGAAGGGACCTCCAAAGCTCATCCAGTCCAATCCCCCTGCCGGAGCAGGAACACCCAGATGAGGTTACACAGGAAGGCGTCCAGGCGGGTTTTGAATGTCTGCAGAGAAGGAGACTCCACAACCTCTCTGGGCAGCCTGGGCCAGGGCTCTGTCACCCTCACTGAGAAGAAGTTTCTTCTCCAATTTCAGTGGAACCTCCTGTGTTCCAGTTTGTGTCTGTTACCCCTTGTCTTATCATAGATACCTCCTTCCTCTTAAAAGCCACCTCCTAACAAATTGCCTGAGGATGGCTGAGCACGCTGTGCAATGCCAATGGCTCACTCCAACAGATTTTGCCTTAACAAAACAACAGAAGGGATGCAAGAGCCAGGGAGGTGCCTCAACAGCTGGTGGCTCTGACCATGCCAGTCTGGTCAAGGAGGAGGAAGAGGAGTGAATTTGGTGCGTTGAGAGCAGTCAGCTCTGCCGGCAGCGGCACTGGGTGCACCAGAGTCTCTGGGCTGAGCCATGGGCAGCAGCAAAAGCAGAAGGAAAAGGACTTTACCTACCTAGGGTTGGGTCGTAGTCTCCAATGAATCTCCTGGTGATGAATCTTACGGTCAACGCTGTGAAGAAAACCACAACAAACCCAGTTACGGCTGTCAGATCAAACTGTAGAGAAACATTGGCTGATTGAGGCAGGAGGGACGGAGAAGGGACC